ACTGAAAGGACATATGATAGAGGTATGCAAAATCGTGAGCTGTCTGGACAGAGTAAATGTGGAGGAGATGTTCCTGCTCATGATAGAAAAAAGAATGAGATGACATAGATTTAAAATGATGTACAAATAGAGTCATAGAGTAAAACAGCACGGAAACAGGCCCTTTGGCCCAAACTGGTCCATGCTGATCAGGATGCCCACTCAGCTAGTTCCAATTCCCTCTAAACCCTTCCCATCCATGTACCTATCCAAATGTTTTTTAAATGTTGCTATTGTACCTGCCTCAAACACTTTCTCTAGCAGCCCATTCCGTATACGCACCACTCTCTGAAATGAAGAAGTTTTCCCTCAGATCCTTCTTAAATCTTTCCCCTCTTACCTTAAATCTATGCCCTCTAGTTTTCAATTCCCCATACCTGGGATAAAACGTATATGTATTCATCCTATCTATGCACCTCATGATTTAATACACCTCAGTAAGGTCACCCCTCATTCTCTTATGTTCCAAGGAATAAAGTCCTATCTTGGCCAACCTGTCCCTATAACTCTGGCCTACTAGTCCTGGCAACATCCTCGTAAATCTTGTATGCACACTTTTCAGTTTAGCTATGTCTTTCCTATAACAGGGTGACCAAAACTGTACACAATTCCGTTTTTCTCCCTACTTTTCTTTAATATTAGTGACATGTGTAATTATCCATTCTAAAGGAAAATTTCACAAATCCAAAAAACTGTAGGAAAGACTATAGTTACATTGTCTGCAATTTTTTCACCAACTTAAAACAAAACACAGGATGGAAACCATCTCATCCTGGATTGGTCACTCTTGAGCACCATTATTTCATTCATTACCGTTACTTGGCTTACAATAAATTTTCATCAATGATTTCCTTAGAATTCAGAATTATTGACCTCCTCCTATACTATTACTACTGACACTGTAACTATTCAACATGACTATTGCCTTTGACAATAATCATTTATTAAGAGATTGATGTTGCTCCAGACCAAGCATTATTTTCTAAGAATTTTTGAAAAATTGTGTTGATTCTTACATCCCATTTAAAGTTCAATTTAATACCCCCTCTTTGCAGTTCTATGTTTTATCGTTTGGATAATTTCCATTTGCCAGCATTTTTTGTTGTACTGTTGTATGCCATTTCTATTCATGTTGAGTCTTGCCTCCTCGTCAGCCTTTCTGCTCCTATGATGCTGCTTGGCCTGCTGTGTTCATCCAGCTCTGCACCTTGTTGTCTCAGACATCCATAGCTGTTTTTTTTGTGGGAAATGGAGCTCTTGCCCCTTAGAATATAAACTAGTTCATTGCCAAACTAAATCTATTAATTAACAATTCCATTAATCTGTCATTTTACCCATGATCAGTTTGGGCACCAGAAAACAAAGAAAGGAATATTTTAAAGTCAAAGGTTCACAGTTATTTAAGGTAGCTTTGTTATTTTTCCTATGTGGAAAGAGCACGGGAAAGACATCAGGAATGTTTTATTGGATATGATTTTTATGCACAAAAGATGGAAATCTAATACAGATCAGTTGGCAACTATTAATTAAGATTACATTAGTCAGTCATTAAGAACCATTTATAAACGATTGTACAGTAATTTGCTTTATCAAATATCTTAAGAGTTATAGAGTCATATAACACGGAGACAGGCGTTTTGGTCCAAACTGGTCCATGCCGACCAAAATGTCCATCCATGCTAACCCCATTTCCCTATACTTGGCCCATATCCTTCTAAACCTTTCCTATCCATTTATTCATCCAAATGCCTTTTAAATATTGGTAATGTGCCCACCTCAACCACTTCCGGTGGCAGCTCATTCCATATGCATACCACCCTCTGTGTAAAAATGTTGCCCCTCAGGTTTCCATGTATTCTTTACCTTCTTACCTTAAACTGATGCCCTCAATTCCCCAACCCTAGGAAAAAGACTGAGTGCATTCACCCTATCCAAACCCCTCATGATCCTGTACACTTCTATAAGATTCCTCTCTCAGTCTTCTATGCTTTAAAGAAAAAAATTATAGCTGGTCTAACCTCTCCCTATAATTCAGTCCCTTGAGTCCTGGCACCATCCTTGTAAATTTCTTCTGCACTCTTTCCAGTTTAATAACATGCTTCCTATTAGCAGGGTGACCAAAACTGAACACAATACTCCAATCTTCTTCAGAGATGGTAAGAAATGCCGATGCTGGAGTCAGAGGTAACTCAGTGTGGAGCTGGAGGAACACAGCAGGCCAGGCAGCATTAGAGGAGCAGGAAAGTTGAAGGAGGATCCCGACCTGCAATGTCAACATGCCTGCTCCTCTGATGCTGCTTGGCCTGCTGTGTTCCTCCAGCTCCACACTGTGTTAACTCTAATCTTCTTTCTGGATTTATTTAAATGTGTGAAACTGGATGAAATTAAACTCTTCCACAATCCTTACACACTGCTGAAATTTATTTCCATGAGTTAACTTGAATATTATCAGCTTTGTGACCATAACTAACGACAGGCTACACAGCCCGTATAACCTTTATGTTTCTCAATTAATAAAAACCAAAGGAACTGCGGATGCTGTAAATCAGGAACAAAAAGAAAGTTGTTGGGAAAACTCAGCAGGTCTGGCAGCATCTGTGAAGGAAAAAAGAGTTAATTTTTCGGGTCTGGTGACCCTTTCTCAGAACTGATGGTGGTTGGGAAAACATCGGTTTATATGTAGAAAAAAAGGGAGGGGGATGAGGTGGGGAGTAAATGAAAGGATAGAGCCTAAAGAGAGAGAATAGCAGTTGGACTGATAAAGAGTTGATAACGATCAGGCTGGGAGGGTGAATAGTTGTTAATGGGGACTATTAGTGACTAATAACAGGTAGTATGTAATGACAGGCTATGTGGTAACAAGGCCTGGTGTGTGGGGTGGGGAGCTGCGTCATTGGAGAGTTTAGGCCCTAAATAATTTTACACACTACACACTACCTGTTATTATTCACTAATAGTCCCCATTAACAACTATTCACCCTCCCAGCCTGATCGTTATCAACTCTTTGTCCAATTGCTCTTCTCTCTCTTTAGGCTCTATCCTATCGTTTACTCCCCACCCCATTCCCCTCTCCTTTTTTTCTACACATAAACTGACGTTTTCCAAGCACCATCAGTTCTGAGGAAAGGTCACTGGACCCAAAACGTTAACTCTTTTTTCTTTCACAGATGCTGCCAGACCTGCTGAGCTTTTCCAGCAGCTTTGTTTTTGCTTCTCAGTTAATGCTTGCTTCCTATTTTCCTTTGTTTCATATGTGTCTACCAGCTCAGTTTTCTCCATGGGACGTTCCTTGATAGAAATCCAACAGGATTGAGTCTCTTTACTGATGTAAAGGCTACATTCTAAAAATAGAATTAGTAGATAAGGTGATGAATGTGAAGAATGACAGGATGAAGAATTGTTAAAGATGACAAAAGAGTGATAATAAATAATATAACCCAAAAATTACATAACAAAAAGCAGGATAAAGGCGTAAGTTAAATTGATAACTGTTACAGTACTATGTACTTCTGTTTGGCTTTATTCCCACCACAATATTTATTTATCTATTTATTTCTTGATTCTTTATTTCAAACATCTCATTCATAAATCCAGCTGCTCAGACAGCAACTGTTGCATATTAATCATATGATACATACGAATTAAGAACAGAAATAGGACATTCAGTCCTTCCAGATTGTCCTGCCAACCAATAAGATCATGACTGATCTATTTATGTTCCTAATCACACATTTCCATCTGTCTCAATAACTTTTGATTCACTAGCCTACCAAGTATCTCTCTACACCTGCCTTAGAAATATTTAATGACCCTACTTTCACTGCCTTCTGAGGCAAAGTATCAATTTTCCATGGATCTCTGAGTGAAAGAAACTCGCTTAATCTCTGTTCTCAAAGGGCTTACCCTTTTTGAGTCAATAAAAAACAGGAAGCATATGTAAGATTCTATTCTCTTATTGCCTGTTTAGTTGTCCTGTGCTGGTTTTTAAAGGAATCCCAATCCTCTGGCTTCCCAGTAACCTCACCACATTGTATGCCTTTTCTTTTGCTTTTATGCATCCCTGACTTCCCTTGTCAGCCACGGTTGCCTCACCCTCCCCTTTGTATATTTAATTCTTCCTTGGAAGGGATTTCCCCCAGAAATTCTTGCCATTGGTGCTCCACCATCTTCCCTGCTAGGGTCCCCTTTTAATCAGCTCTGGCCAGCTCCTTGCCCATGTCTTCGTAGTTACCTTTACTCAATTATATTATGGTTACATCTGATTCCAGCTTCTCACTCTCAAACTGTATGGTGAATTCTATCGTATTGTGGTCACTGCCCTCTAAGGGTACTTTCATCTTATGTTCCCTAATCATGTCTGCCTCATTACACATTACTGAATCTAAAATTGCCTGTTCCCCAGTGGACTGTATCACAAGCCGCTCTTTTAAAAAAATCACATAGACATTTCATAAATTCCTTCTCTTGAAATCCACTACCAGCTTGATTTTCTTACCCTGTACCATCATGGTAAGCTTTCATGTCCTTTGAAAGTCACTTCATTCAGTTTTCTGAGCATTCTTGAACTGACTTCCAGCAGAAAACTCTACTCCAATATTTCTTTGGTCTTCAAACCTTCACAAGTTCCATAACTTTGAACAAACAATCAATTCCTGCTGTTATCCTTGGCTAACACAAATGTCTTTTCACAGCAGAAGATATCTTCCTCTCTGAATTTCTAAAGCTAAGGTGGAATCTTCCCAGCCCCTGAATGGTATAGGCTATGGTGTGTCAGTTGGAAAACATAGTGAGATAGGAAAAATGTGATTCATGATGCAAGAAAAGCTCTAAATTTCTGCCAAACATTTTAATGCTGAAAAAAGAATCACCTGATTAAACAGTGGGAAATCTGTTTGATTGCATTAACATCTTGTTAATACATACTTTCACCTTATTTATATGTCATTTTCTATTTTCCCAGGTGGTGGAAAGAAATTAGACCAGTGACAATCCTCAAGACGGAAGTCTGAACTGGTACTTGGTAACTCCTCTGGGGCTCCAGCTTGGTTAACATTGCACAATACCTCAAGGCTTGCACCTTGGCTACTGACCACCTGCATGCATTGTCCATAGAGATTGGCATCGGGCACACACTAGCTTCATCACAACATTATGGCTCATCTCTAACACACTTACAACATAGCTCCCCAGTTCAGTGCTTCACTTTGAAGTGCATCAATATATTTCATTGTAGTTATTTTAGTCAACCTATTCAGACATGCCATGGGGTACCTGGAGTAAGTGGACTTGAATTCAGACCTTCGGACCTAGAGATAGGCACATACCATTGTGCGGTATGGTCCTTTCATCTTTCCTCGTAATGCTTCTGCCAAATCACTTCGTGTCCAGGGTCAGGAATCCATTTTATTTATCGGAATAGCAGAAATCTTAAATCCCTTAGATTGCTCTCTTTCTGCTCAATTACTTTGTGCGCACATGAATGCTCACAGCATCTCTCTCTTGCCTTGCCTTTTATCATAGATACAAACTTGTCACAGTTGCCAGCAGTGATCAGTCAAGGGGAAGGACATGTTCCTGTGTGGCACCATGCTACACAGTGTCACACCTGCACCATGTGTTTGTACACAGAAAACATACTTCATGTGCTTTAACCAAATGGCCATGTCTCAAAGTCTAAAGGGAACAAGTCCTCAGTCATGTCAAATTGGACTATCATCAATCAGAGGGTCCTTCAACAATTAGTCAACAGCAGCTTCCAATCGCAGTCCAAGGCTTGGGTGTGGTCAGTAGGCTGCTGTGGGCAGTTATTATGTTTTACTACAGTCCAGTTAGTGGACCACATTCAGTCCTGTAGGTCCAGCTGGGTATCAGTGGTAAGTCAGTCAGGGAGCTGCACAGAGATCAGTCAGAGATCTGATCACTTTTGGTGAGTTCCGTGGATAATTTCTCTCCATGAAGCCAAGTGGATTTACTCATACTTTCTTCCCAAACCCATCTCAATATCTATGTGGCATGGACCTATGATGCCCCCTCAATGTACTCTTCCACTCACTGCAGACAGAAGTACTCATCACTGCTGGGACATCCAGTGTTGTATATGATGTCAAGTGCTGGCAGTTAGAACTACCCTGAACAGTTCCTGCCATTTGACTTGGACATGCCAGAAAAAAGAAAATTGTGCAAAACAAAAGCAGAAATTGCTGGTGAAACTCAGCAGATGTGGCAACATTTGTGGAGAGAATGCAGAGTCAACATTTTGGGTCTATGACCCTTCTTCAGAAAAGGGTACTGAAATGTTGACTCTGCTTTCTTTCGACAGATGTTTCCAGACCTGCTGAGCTTCTCCAGCAATTTCTATTTTTGCTTCAGATTTCACACATCTGCAGTTTTTGTTTTTGCTTAAAGGAAAATTGGTCCCCCACTTTTGTTGACTGGAGGCCCTGGTGGACTGCATAGTGGAGAGAAGAGCTGTCCTCTTCCAGGACCAACAGAGGAGACCAGCCAGGTCCAAGGTTACCACTTGGGTTAGTGTGTTGTCCGCACTCTGGAGAAACACCCAACAGTGCCACAAGAAGGTCAATGACGACTCTGTGAGGATAAATGCCATCTTCATTGATCTGCTACCTCATGCTCATTCCATCTCTGCTCCTGTGCACATCTCAAACTCATGCTCATATCAATTACTCTGATTATTGCATGCACTATCTCCCCTCCCCTCTCACTCCCACCCACCCCAATCCACCAAACTGCTGAACTCTGCACTGCCTACTCACTCACTCAGGGCACTCTACTACATTTCCCCCACCTGCCACAAAGTATTCATGGCATTGCCAGGCACTTCGACCCTACCCAATTCCTTCCTCTGTCTTATTCAGAAGAAATAGTATAACATAGAGCAGAGAGTACCAGGGATCAGTTGTGATGTCCCTGATATTTGGCATTATGAATGTATTCTTAACATGTCCAAACTCCTACCTTTCATGATGCAGTCTCGTTTTTGTCTCCTACAGATACATATAGCAACACTTGCAACATTGGAATTAGGGTAAATTGTTTCATACCGCAATACATTGCTTATGCATTGCAGCCATTAGTGGGATTGATTCCTGATACCGCATGAAATGGTCAAGAGTGCCTGTATCCAAGATTCATAGTCCACACAATAAGTTACTACCTAAAGACCATATACAGCATTGAGTGTCTTTCACTAGTATTGCCCAGGTGTCAGTGTAATGTTATTGCTTTTTGAAAGGGTTCACATTGCTTGAACGTGGATCACCCTTCCTCACAGAAAGAAACACTTACCCTACCAGTTCAAGTGTGGTGGCAAATATATTTTAGCTCCATTGCCCATGTTCTATTTGCAATACGGTGGAAGGAAACAGGGGTCAAGCTTCACGCAGTGAGTCTCAAGTCCAGTCTCTTGTCCTTGGTGATTCCCAAATATGCACATTGCCTTCGGGGTAGCTGTCCCCATGAACTCCAACAACTTTGAACTTACCCACATTTCCACCCAATACAACTATCTAACTGTTCGTGTGCCTCGTCTACCCAATCAGCCCCAGGCATATCAAGTCAACATGCCAGATATGATCAAATAGACTAATTTGTTGTACTATTGACCTGTTTTGAAGTGCAAACAGGTTGACAAGAAAACAAATATTGGTTCCTTCATCTGTGAAAAGAAATCACTAATAAAAAGATCCCTTCAGAAGGGCAAGGCAATAACTACCAAATGTGCTAATGGAACCCATTTGACAGATGCAGCTATAATGTCTGTTGTGATATGGACACTTGTGGCATTAAAGCAGTGTCCCTACCTCTGAGCCACGACACTTGGGGTCAGGTCCCACCTGTTACAGAGGTGTGTAATCACATCTCTGAACAAGTTGAATCGAAATACTCATAGCTTCTGTTATACTTTAACAATTGTGAACTAATAATTATATGTAGCTGGTTGTATGACATCATTGCTAACTAGTAAGAGAATCCATTACTGTGTAATTTAGACTTGATCTCCTTATTACTGGTATGACACCAGAATTGGTTAGAAGACACCCTCAATTGTTGCTTATTGATCTTTAAAATTTGTTCTTAAATCTCAAAGGGCAAAAAAATTACCTGCAATCCAGGGAATTAAGAAGCAGCAGGAAATGCACAGCTGATCTGTAAGTTCCCTGGATTATTAAAAAAGAATATTTTGAAAGAAAACTGCAGTTAATAGTTAAGATGCATGCTGTCTCTTCTGAGGAATAGTGAGCATCCAAAATGTTACCCTATCTTTTCCTTCTATGGACGTTGCTTGTTTATAACATTTTCTATTCCTGTTTCAGACTTGTGTCATATCTGATTTGTTTTTTCTTTTTAATCAAGGGTTCCTGTCATGCTGTTTTGTGTCTGATTGTCATACCTTTATTAGTTCAGGATAAATTAAACAAGTTATTAAAATAATCTTTCACAGTAGAATATTGAAATACATTTAATAATTGCTCCTCACATCAAGCACCATTTGAGCAACATGCTATGAGCATCCACCTGCAAATTAGTGTACTGACCCCACCTGAGCATGGCGAGTCTGCTTCATGTACAGAATGTAGGTGATCATCTGGTTTACACTGGGTCTGACGTCAGGCCCAACTTTTGCTATGGTATTTCGTGATTTTAAATAAATCAGATGCTTACCAATACGTGGCTGTATGCGAGAACAAAATTGTTTTTGAAGTTTACAAATCCTGCTAATATCTTTACTGCATATTTTTCAACCTTTGTAAGTTTTGCCTTAGGTAACAAGAAGACACAAAAAAAGCCATTAGGTAGTTTAATAAACACTTAAGCAGAAAGTCTAGAAAATCTTTTTTGAAAATGATACCTTCTTACAAGGAAGTAGCAGATTATGAAATCAGTTGTAAATTATTGTGAATGTATCTGGAGATACAAAACAAAAACAACAGAACTGCATGTTTCATAGATTCGTGCAGAGATTTTCACTGCAAAGATTTAATAGTATCATTAGATAGGATACTCTATGGCAAATAGACAGGGGGAAAATACTTTTCAAAAGTTGTTCATAATAAAGGAAACTGATCCAAAAAGAATCCACAGGTGCATGGCACCCTTCTGCTGGGGTGTTGCTGGCTTATAGCTATTTTCTGTCACCACCAGGATTTTTCACCATTAATGATAAGATGTACACACTACATCAGCCCCATAAGGAAAGGAGTATTTATTGTAAGAACATTAAACAAAATGACTACGTTGTCCAATGTATTTCTTGCTGTTTTTGTCCTAGCAACATTGGTTGCAAAGTGCTGGTGCATTTTCTGGTGTCCGTTGGTGGTACTATGGCAGGAGGAAAGGATTTAAAATAAAGAAGTTGTCTACGTTGTATTGAGTACAGAAATAGGAGAATAGGGCAGATGGCTCAAGAGTAGGTGCAGGAGGGAGTGTTTTAGATTCCTGGATCATTGGATTGTTTCTGGAAAAGCTGGGATCTGTACAAGCAAGATAGTATGCACGTGAACCAGAATGGAACCAATATTCTTGTGGGTAGGTTTGCTAAAGTTGTTGGGAGGAGTTTAAACTAGTTTGGCAGGGACACGGTACACAGTGTGTTGGTATAATAGGGACACGGCATACCAAAGAACCAAGGCATAGAAAATTCAGCCATAGTGAGTTTAAAGGGAGTAAAAAGTAATGTTGAATGGACTCAAATGCTTGGAGAATTATAGGTAAGACAGATGAGTTACGGATGCGGTCTAACATGCGGAATTGCATTGTTGCCATCACAGAGGTATGATTAAGGGAGGGGCAGGACTGGTAACTCAAGATTCTGGGGAATAGGTTCTTCAAGCAGGACAGGGAAGGGTATAAAAAATAATATTGCATTCTTAACTATGAAATTAGTCACTGCAGTAAGGAGGGACGATATCTTGGAAGGCTTTGTCAGTCAAGTTTAGGAATAAAAAGGGGGCACTCACACTGTTAGGAGTGCATTATAGACCCCAAAACAGCCAGTGGACAATAGAAGAGCAGATATGTAGACAATTCTAAGAAGTGTAAAGACAATAATAAGGTAATTATGTTCAGGGATTGCAACTTCCCCGATATTAATTTGGATAGTCAGAGTGTAAAGAGTTTAGAGGGGGCAGATTTTTTGAGACGTATTTGTGAAAGTCTTTTATATCAATATGTAGAATGTCCAACAAGGGATGTTGCAGTGCTGGACCTAATTCTGGGGAATGAAAGTTGGACAAGTGTCCGAGTTAGTAATGGGAGAGCATTTTAGTGATAGCGACCACAACACGATATGTTTCAAGTTTGTTGTGGAGAAGCAAAAAGGTAGTCTGCAAAAAAGGGTTTTGAATTGGGGGAAGACAGATTTTATTAAGATAAGGCATAACTGTCCAAAGTAGACTGAGGACAGCTACTTGTAGGTAAATTTACAGCAGAATATGATAGGGGGAAGGTAGCATTCAAAATGGAATTGATAACAGTATAGCTTAACATGTTCCCTTTAGTGTGAAATATAGGAGCAGCAAGCCGAGAGAACCCAGATGTCTAAGAATATTCAGAACTGGAGAAGAAGGAACAGAGGCTTTCAATAAGTACAAGAGCAGCAAATAAACAGAAGCTCTAGTGGTGTACAGAAAGTGAAGGATGTGTGGTGAAATTTAAGAAAGCAATTTAGTAGAGGAAAGAGGGGACATGAAAAAATTCTGGAAAGTAAGATTAGGGAGAATCCCATGATATTCTATAATTATATCAAGGGGAAGAGGATAACCAAGGAAAGAGAAGGTTGCTTATTAGGGACAAAGGGGGTAATCGGTGCATGGAACTGGAGGACATTGATAGGATGTTAAACGAATACTTCACATTCATCTTCAGCAATAGAATTTGGGAGAGGAACTGAGGTTGTTCAGTGGATCAACATAGGGAGTGAGCAAATATTGGAGGTTTCAGTGAGTTTAAAAGTGGACAAATCCCCAGATCTGGATAAGTTGTATCCCAGGCTGCTGTGCGAGATGAAGGAAGAAATCAGGGGACTCTGACCCAAATTTTTAATTCCTTTCCAGCCACAGGGAAGGTGCCAGAGGAATGGAAGTCAAATAATGTGGTACCACTTTTCATGAAGAGTCATAGAGATAAACCAGGGAATTACAGACCAATGAGTCACACATCAGTGACAGGGAAACTATTGGAGAAAATTCTGAAGGAGAGA